TGCCCTAACATCAATTATTTATCGGTGCATACCTAATCCCGATCGGGATATGCTTCCTCACGTTTTCATGAAGGTAAATGATATTAAGGTTAAAAAGTTAGAATCCAGTTTATTGTGGAATCCAATATTACTATACAATATTATTGAGTGACCAATAATACTGGTCCCAATATATTGGGTATACAATAATATTAGGAGACCAGTATTATTGGATAGCCAACAATACTGTACAATATCTCCAGTAATGATTGTAGCACGCTCTGTCTCGCTAATATCGTCATTAGTCAGCTCAGTATTTTGATGATTCATCGCTATTTATTGTGCTTTAACGGACCGGCCCGTGTTTTGATGACTGTGGATGCGGACGTAGCCATTTATTTTGTATAACACTTTTTCTTCGCCGAGGAGAAAGGTTTCTAAGAGCCGTTTGATAAAACCAAGGTTTCCATCGGTTTTTAAAGCTTGTACTAAATTTCCAGGTACTGCACTAAAAACAGTTTCGATATTTTTGAATTAATTTTGATTAATTTGTATTGAATTATGAACTTTTTGATTTTCTTGGTAAATGGCTAGACATAGATCATAGATTAGTTCATCTACAGATTTCAGTTGTTTTTGAAAAAACACATCGTCGTGAAAGTCATCAGAATCTTGTCTTCATTCGTTTTCTAGATTACTATGCCTAAACATAGATCTCAAATAAATGTTACACAGAAAGCAAGAGAGACGAACAGGTCGCTCATTCTGAAGAGGGTATTTTACACTAACTAGCCGTGAAAGTAAACGAAAGTCTTAGTGTGGTAATCTGGTCCTTTGTGACCTCTTCCAAAAACAACCTTCACGAAGAGCTTTGAATTGTTCCGTCTATCAGCCTATTATAAAAAGTATGATTAAATTTTAAGAAGTTTTATTCTGACTTTTCTGCTTTGTTCATTGCATCTTTGAATGTTCGTTTCATACGAATACGGCAGATATTTGTATATCATGTGAGTATATCCGCCTGGAAAAAAATAGCTGCAGTCGATTTTTTTAATATATCATCACTATAAAAATACATTTTAAAAAAATAAGTATATATTCAGAAAGTGCTCGGAGTTTTCTGTCATCCTATATATTTATGTCTTGTCTTGCATCTATTTGCTGAAAAATAGTTTCAGTAAAATGAAAGTTTTCTTGATTGAAGCTCTAAAATTAAAGTTTAGTTATGGTTTTGTTGAGCATTTCATGGCCCATTTTTCAAAGAAAAACATGAACCTTTGGGTCTTAAAGAAATACGAGAAAAATAGAAAATACTGGAAGGCTACACTCGTGACAATTTCTGAGAATCTAACGATGAGGGGGCTGTCATTGCACTCGATTTATTTTTCTGCAAATAAATGTAAGACAAGACATAAATATACACGGTGATAGAGAACTCCGAGCGCTTTCAGAATATATAATTATTTTTTTAAAATGTACTTTTATAGTGAAGATATATTAAAAAAATGTATCACGCTTATGTTCAGGTTTAACTCTACGATTGTTCTCAGACCATCTAACTAGTAAATAAGTATTAATTTTGAAGGTAAATCAACATTATTACCTCCATTACTCATTGCTGAAGGGTATGACAAGATCCTTGTTACACAGCCGAGACGTTTACCGTGCACTTTAATATGCAAACGTATTAATTCAACAATGGATGATCCAAACGACAGCACGGGCCTAGCAGGATGGGCTATAAGTGGCAAAGAACACAATGTTAATGCCAATATCCTATACTTAACAGATGGATTGTTAAAAGAACGTTTGTTATTTGATGAAAATATAATAACAAATCAGACAAAACTAAATAAAAGTGTAGTATTTTTTATTGATGAAGTTCATGAGCGCTCGGTAAATATTGATTTATGTCTAGCCTTATTAGCACGTATATTAACACTGAAACCAGAATTAAGAACAAAAATGAAAATCATTATATCATCAGCCACATTAGACTCAACTGTACCAGATCTTTTTCGTCAACTTCCGAACTGTAAATTTGATGAATTTAATATGCCAACGTTAATGACACTCTATCCGGTAACAAAATTTAAACGACCTAATGAGAATGTATTAGATGTTGTTCAAGAAATATACAAAAAACGTCAACGACATGATCAAATATTATGTTTCGTTAATTCTGTCCAAGATGTAAATAATTCGTGTAAACTACTATCAGATTTGAGTAGAGGAGCAATTTCAGCTTATCCATTAATTCAATCACAATCAGCCGTAGATCAACAAGCAAATATAGAATATCGTTCTGTATTTTTTTCAACAACTGTAGCTGAAACTAGTCTAACATTTCCTTGTTTAAAATATGTTATTGATTCTGGTATGATTAATATTCCAGTATATGATATTAACACTGAAACAACAAGATTGGAGGAAGTAAGAGCTGCTGAGTCAACAATTAACTGGATTCTAACTTTTTAACCTTAATATCATTTACCTTCATGAAAACGTGAGGAAGCATATCCCGATCGGGATTAGGTATGCACCGATAAATAATTGATGTTAGGGCATTCAGCAAAGGCGTTCCTAATTAGTTATGAAAGCTACTTCGAGCTGCCGAATGTCTCATTTTGTGGAAAAATGTTTGCTCTACCACACTGAAGTGCAAAAAGACATTTTAGTGTTATCTGTGACAGAAATATAACCATCCAAAACTGACAACCAAACCACTCCAACTGTCCGGTCACTTTTTCACGAAACCTTGTGGACACTAGGTAATCGAGTGTGCTGGATCCGAATATCATAGTGGTTTGGGCATCCAGGCCTTCAGAGACAGGTTTTCTGGAATACTAGTTTTTCAGAAACTCTAAAAGATAATCAAAACCTTTCTTAATAAGACATAATTGTAGCCCGCACACTTCTGATTAAAATGAGACATCTCCCAGCTCTACACGACCTTTCTTTGCAAAGTCAGAGAATTTACCAGAAAAGCCTTAAATTACTTTCTTCTTATTTCTGTAGTTTTGAACTGACCGATTTATACAATTCCATATTGTTGCATTGTACACACTGGAAAAAAACGTACCCTAAACTGCTCTTTTTAGGAAGCGCTTTTCTGCTGAACACTTTTCAGAAAGATCACATCTATGATGATTACCAGTGAAACACTTTTGAAGAGTGATCCACATTAGAATAGTTTACTTCAAAAAAGAAAGAGATCACTTCCAGAAAAAGTGAGCTCAAGTAACTTACTAAAAGTGTTCCAAAAAAGAGTACTTTTTGAAAGTATTCTTCAATGTATCATTTTGAAACAGGAATTTCTCTTTTCAGCCGGGTAATTTGAAACCGGCAAAAAGGCTCAAAAATTTACCGTGGTAAACTTCGGTAAAAAATTTTTTTACCGTTACCGACGGTAATTTACCGATGACTACAAAGTTGTTAATAATATATGAATTAAAATCAATTTTCCACAAAAAAAGTCGGTAAAAATAATTTCATTATCGTTACCGGCTTACGGTAAAAACTTAAAAATTTTACCGCGGTAAACTTGTGTAAAAAGACGGAAAATGAGTTAGAAATGAATCTTTGAAGTAAAGGGGGAAATTTACTTATCTGAAGTGCAGAAGCAGGTTGAGTAGATATAATAGCATAATATTCTGACGAAATTTAGGTTTTAGGTTTTTTTTGTTGAAAAATTAACATCGTCGCGAGAGTCGCCAGAATCTTGTCTTCATTCATTTTCTAGATTACTATCCTTAAACATAGATCTCAAATAAATGTTACACAGAAAGCAAGAGAGACGAACAGGTCGCTCATTCTGAAGAGGGTATTTTACACTAACTAGCCGTGAAAGTAAACGAAAGTCTTAGTGTGGTAATCTGGTTCTTTGTGACCTCTACCAAAAACATCTTTCGCAAATGCTTTCCATAGAACTATGTCCCCAGATCTTGTTTATCGAATTCTGCAACCTGTCCAGGGAAACATCACCCATGGGAAAAATCTAGATACATTTCGTCTGTAATCGGGCGATACACGGCTAGTTGTCATCTAGATTACGGCTTGTCCACGTAACTCGAGACTTCGCTGATCAAGTTTTTGAAAAAATTATTTTAGAGTAGAACTGATAGGAGCATATCACTAGATGCAGTTTTTGACGCTGATTACGAATCTCACATTAGTTTTTGAAAAACGTTAAATTTTGGTACTGAAAACCCACTTTTACATTTTTTGAAAACTGTATTTTCAATTTCCTCACCTAGACACTTTTCCTAATAAAAATGGTTGGTCATACTAATCAATAGAGAATTCGATTCTCTACAAGATGATATGG